ATTGCAACAACACACACACACACACACACACACACACACACACACACACATTAAAATGCAAATGTATATGAATATACATGGCATTTAAAATTAGAATAAACACTATTTCATCCTGATATTCTACTATATGATATTGTACTATAATCTAGTGCAAATTATAGATTAACAAAAATGAGTTTTTATGTAAAATGTAAAATTCTAAGAATGGATCGATTTTATTTGCAGATTTAAACGTAGAAAATACAAATAGATTAATTATAATCTTAATTTACTTTTCATTTTTAATTATAAGAATTATAATCAAATAAAGACTAAATTAAAAAATGATTAAAATTAATACACATTGATACAAATGAAATAATTCTAATAAATATACAATAATAAAACAAACTTAAAATTATTGTATTAAAATTATTGTATTATTGTATTCTAATAATGAAAATTAAATAGGAAATAGGAACATATGAAATAATATAGCAATATTAAAAATACTTTCAATGTGCATAGTTTAGTTGGATTATAAAAGATAAAGTGTCTAAGCAAATTTCTGTATCCAATTTTCTTCTTTTTGATTTAAATTTTTCCGAAATTTAACCCGTATTCATAATGAATCTTTATGACGATAATACTCGATAATACTAAGGAGATCCTCAAATTTGTTTCTTACATAAATAATATTTCATACGAATATTGATTAAATTTTAAAACGAATGGGCTATTTTTTTAAAAATTTCTCAAGCAATTTTTCTCGCGTAACAAGCTACAAATTACAATCCCTTCGATTTCACGGGTGCCCTCCGCGATTTCCGCGAAACAATCACAACAGAGATATTATTCGCGACGGCGCGATCGTATATTTGTACGCGATTTGATCGAGAGAAAAACGCTCCGTTTTCTTCCTCCTTCCAGGAATTTCATTTTGCTCCGGCAATAAATAACCGATAGGGGCGCCGGGCCGCGATATCGCCGCGTTTATGTATCGCCGTTATTTTTCACGGCGTAACCTCTGATGTTGAGACATATCTCAAGCCAGCGATTAAAAGTGTTTTTTTTTATAAACCGATGTCACCGATGCATGCCCGAGAGCGGAGCGGAGCGGAGCAAAGCGATGACGCAACGAACCGTTACGAGTGACCGCGGATAATAATAATCGACGCGGTTAGTGGAAATGGTCGCGGGAAAACACACGCGGATTTTTATTATATTTTTTTAATTTGTTGTTTCCTAATCGATCCAGGCGAAACTCTGCGTACGAAGTGTTAATATCCATTTATACTTTTGATTCGCCTCCATCAAATAATATCGAGATAGATACGTATATATATTTTTTTTTTTTTTTTTTTTTTTTTTTAATTGAAAAGTTACAAATAAACCGTAACGTGAATCGTCCTTTTAATAACAGTTTTAAATAATTGTTTTTAAAGAGGAGAGAGAAGTTTACTCTCGGTTTATTATTCATGTAAGAATACTTATACCATTTTATTTATACTTTTCTGCAGCATATATTTTGATACATGTGTAGAATGTATTTTATTATATTTTTTTAAGTATTTCTCTCTAAGCGGACGCAAGTAAAATAAACTTTATAATTATATAAGCTTTTTACTCTCTCTCTTTGATACGTATGTGTATGTGTAACGTACCTGGACAAGGACTTGACGTATTGTAAAGAAGATGTAAAACATCTCGTCATTTAGAATGCTAATTAGAATTTGTGAAACAATTTTCTACTGCAGCATTTGACTTGAGAAATCTTGAAAATATGATTAAGGCGGATTAAGGCGACCGATTAAAGCGGGTCCATACAAGAAAAAGTCTACTGTACTTTTTAATTATCATACAGTGTACAAAAATATAAATAAAATTTTTTATCTCGACATAAATTGTGTCTCTCTCGCAGTATAATTTTATATGACACAAAAATATAAAGGCTTTTATCCTGAATCATAGATCGTTTAAATATTCGAGATAAATGCGAATTCTCTTTTTTCCTGTCACGGTCGCGTCATTGTGCGAATTAAGATGTGTCCCGTATGAAGGGACGACAATAGCAAAGGGTTTGGTTGCGCGCGTAATCGAGGAAGAGGTAGTTTCTCGATTTCCAGCCCTTTGAGACCGAACCGAGACTTCATTCGATGACCGTGTCGATCTTGAATTGAAAACATCCAAATATTTTCATTAGACGGGCCCATTTTGCGAAGGGTGGGCCGTGCCATTTTCGCGGGATCCCCTTTCACGAGAAATCGATCTTGGGGTCGATTGGGGGGCGTACCTTTCACGCCGGGGAGATCCTCCGCTACGCGAGCGATCCTTGGCTGAAGAATCCCCGAACGATCCCCGCAGCGTGTGTTGTCGTCGTATAAAGAGGCGGATTACACGGTGTCCATTTCAAGACATACAAGGAACTGGTGTTTGCAGTAAGTCCTCCCCCTCCTCCTTTCCTCCCTGCCTCTCGTTTGCTCTCCCCCGTCCGCTCTCTCTCCTTCTCTCCTTCGGTCGCCAGCCACCGGGTCCTGCGGGCGTATACCGAGGCCGGCATTATCTTCGCTGTTTTGCCGATTCAATTGTGTGTGCGGTGAAAGGCGGCGTTTAACAAGAGTTTAATAAAAGGCAAACAGCGCGGGATCCTCGATCGTCCTCTCTCGCGGGCCGTTTCTCGTTTCTTCCGCTCCCGCGCGCGCGAAACCACTCACCATCTCTCTGTTTCCTCTTCCATCCCTCTCGGCTCTCCTGCCCCGCCGTACGTTTTTCCTCGAAGGGATTACCCGGGAAAAGCCCGGGCCTGTCGGCCCGAAGAAAAGAGGGAACACACGCGAAAGGAAAGAGATTCGAGAAAGGATCGCAGCTGCCACGCACCGATTGGCCCGACCAAAAAAAAGTAGCGATTCCTCTCGCTCTCCCGTCTGTATTTCTGTTTTCGCTGATCCGTGCGGGCGGGTGGACGAGAGGAGGGGGGGGGAAGGCAACGGGGATGTGGATAGAAGAAGCCACACGGAGCGAGCGGACAAGCGTGGATCCCTTCGATCGCGAGAAAGTTTTCTGGAGAAAAATCATCGATCGGAGAGTTTACTTCCAAAGCGTCTTAAATTCCTGCAGGAGTATAAATAAATTCTAGAATAATAACTTATGTGTGTCGCGAGCTTATTATTATTATAATTTTGTAAAAAGTATTTCGAGTTTTTGAAGGTGTGTAAAAATAACTTGGAAATCAATCCTTCACCGCTTTGGGATGAATTTTTTTTTTTTAGAATTATAACGTCTTTTTCGCTTGATTTTTTTTATAATGTCTTTATAATGTCTTTCTTTTCCTTAAAATTATTGAAACAGTTGATAATTATTAATTATAAAGCGACGCAATTTTTTTCTTGGTAAAGAAAATTAATATTATATGATAATCGTTTCCTAGATGCATTTGAAAATTTTATCGCGAAAAATAACCAGTTTGAATAACCAGTTTGATACTTAGACTTTGAGTAAAATAAAGTTTTAATAAAAATAAACTATTAAACAGGTAAACAACCTTCGTAACGCATATCTTCAATACAGATGGAGAAAAAAACGTTCTTTCTTTTCTTTCTAAAAAGATCGGCTCGCGTTCTTTCCTGACCGATAAAATGTCTGCGAAACTCAGCTGCTCAATTATCGGAGATGTTCGAGACACCTCCACCCCCGAAACGATCGAGCGATCGTTAAATCGCAAAATCCGCCCCTCCTTTTCTTCCAGTTTTTTTTTCTCCTTTCTCTTTCTTTTGTGCCGATCTCGGTAGAAGCGGGCGGACTAAGTCAGTAACCCAGTGGAAACTCGCCCGGGGCGACCTTCCCCGTGCCCCACCTGTCCCCCGTCCCCTCTGCCGATCGATCAGTTCTGATGTAATTATCCAAACGTTGAATTTTTTATCGCGGTGAAACAATAACGCATTTTCAGAGCAAACAGCACTCGCTCACCGGAGGCCGCGGAGGCAGCTCGCGCCCGATCTGGGAGTACCCACGTCGTCCGCTTGTGCTCCCCCCCCCCCCGTGTGTTTACGCAACGTGTAATAGAATAATCTGCGCGTAACGCGCGGGGTTGGGACGGGGAGGTGGACGATGCCACCGCGGGGCAGAAGTACTGCGGCACATCTTTGTTTACCGCGCGCCATCGGTTTCCACTCCCGGAACATCTCCCGTCACGCGAATTTGCGGAAGGATGGTAATCGCGCGATAAAGCGCGCTTTTTTTTTTATCTTTTCTCTTCACCACCGACATGTAATACTCCGCCGCCATGGTGGTCGCCGTCCTCGAACCTTCGACCTCGCTGTATCGAAAGGGGATTTTAGTAGGTAAAAGTAAATAATGCCTTAAGTC